TGTGTCTCAAGATTCATAATAGGCTACTATAGCTACTGACATGTTGACATTGTACCAGGTAAAATATCAGTCTATGGAGTCTATGCGTTCATGCGGCTCAGAGAAAGTAAAGACTGACCTTTATCCTAGACAAATAGCATCTCTTCACTCCTTGCTCTTCTGGGAGCCTTTAATGATTTCAGGTCACGACCCATATTCAGTATACCCTGGATGTGTGCAAATGACCCCTTTATGGAATGAAGAGGGAGCTGTAATAGGTCCCAGAAAAGATGTCAGGTTTGTATGCTCCATTGTGCCAACTCCTCTCTGTCTTATCTAAAGATTTCTTAAATCTGCTTCAGTGCATCTGACTGCTTCAAAATGTCCATGGGGCATGAAGGCAGAAGAAATGACAGGCCACAAAGGATTTGATAGAACAGATATTCCTCTTTCTCTGCATATGAGTATTTTGGAGTTATAGGGCAGGAGGAGGCTCATAAAGAAGAATGGAATAGAGGAACTCTAGATAGGGCAGAGGGGGTGGAGGGGAAGGAAGGTGGTATGGGGTTATTAATGAGTGGAATGTGATGATCATTATTATCCGAAGTACAGGTATAAAGACATGAATTGGTGTGAATATACTGTGTATACAACCAGAGATATGAAAACTTGTTTTCTATCTGTATAATAAGAATTGTAATGCATTCCACTGTCATATATAAAAAAATAAAATATATATTTAAAAAAAGAGAAGATTTCTTCCTCAGTGTGTCTTAATGAATTTATATGAGTTAGAAGAGTTGATATGATCCCCTCCTCTGCATCCTGCTGGCCTGTAATTCTGAGACAGAGAGCTGTTGTATAATTCTAGGAATATAGCCTCTACTGAATATGGCATTGTCATCAGCAAATAGAGTTGGCATTTGGACAAAATTTTATTCTGTCTACTTTGAAGTGAGATTACAAAGGTCTTTCCTAGACATCAGTTAGAAATTAGCTATCAGCTCTACATTAAACAAACCTGTCTGGTTTGGATCATTGGCTAATTGGTCCCGCTTTTGGCCTACACACCTGGAAGAATGTTTTGTTACTGTGTTTTCAGATTCAGGGTTAAAGGAGTAAGTAGTCTTTGTTGAGCTACTATTTTGTGCTTACAAGAGATTTTAGAAAGATTCTGTCATCCCACCATGTAAATCCTCTATAAGTAAAGTATTACCCTACCCCATTTTATAGATATTAAATTAAATGCCAGAGAGGAAAATAAAATCACAGATTTGTCCAATTACCAGGAAAGCTTTATTAGAGTTTGTATGATAGCTTGGTTGGTAGGCTTAGGCTTTTATCATCTGCAAGTCAATGTGAGAGTTTATCTGTAAACTTCTTTATCTTTAAAATTTTTGTAAGGGATGGTGCTGGGATTTAAACCCAGGCAAGTCTGTTGGAATATGCTATTTCACTTTATGATTCAAGTAATTAGAATTTTTTAAAAGGTATACAATTTTCTGGGAGTTTTTTTTTTTTTTAGTCAGTGCTTATTTTAAATTTTTTAAAATATAATCCCTCCATTCTTCAATATGGAAGACCATCAGAATCCTATCACTCATGCTAGGAAGGATTTAGTCTGTCTAGCATGATGATAGGAGGCACTTTTATTGTGTTGTTAGTTTTGATGTTGTTGCTTTCATTGGACTTACAAAATATGTGAGTTTTTCATTTCATTAAGTATTTAATGATGAAGTTCAAAAACTCACTCTGTTCATGGTTCAAGGCCTTATGACAAAGGCAGGGACACCATAATGTTTTAGAGTTTAGGGTATGATTTTG